ACAACAACAACAACAAAACTGCAAACAACCAAGACCCCACAAAACAATCTGTTGACTTTTGGCTAGAGCTACCATCTTCTAGTAATTTCACCGAAGTACATGTTCTCTCTAGGCCTTTAAGGAAACTGGGAGTTGTTCCTTTGCCCATACACATGTGAATCTACAAGGAAGCTGACCTGTGGTCAGAGAATGGTCACTGTTCCAAAAGAAGTGCCCCACAACCATTACCAAGGCAAAATTGTGTCTATAATGTTGCCTTGCATGCTACTAGACTATGGTAGACCAAGAGGTGTGTGTGTGTGATTCATATTAACCACTCTAAGAGCAATAGCTTCCTGAAATGCATTAAGGAAACCGAATGGAATAGGAAGCCAAAGAGAAAGGTACATAGGATTAACTGAAGTACCAGTGGCCGCCCCAACTTTATCCTTCTCTCCTGCCTCCGACACTCCCCTCCCCCTCCCGCAAACTCCAATCTCCTTTCCCCAGAACTGAGAGCTAATGGGAAGGAGCCTGAACTGCTGGAACCTATTCGCTATGAATTCTTGGTATAAAGGGTACAGAACAATCAATCCCTGGACTGTAAAAAAAAAACAGAAACAACCAAACCACCACTCTGCTTTCTGTGTTAGAGGCTTTCCCTAATGTCTCATAATCCTGGGATGATCAGAAGTGATTTTATTGAAGAATAGAGAACTGCGAAGCAGATTGCCTCTTATGAGAAGTTTTGTGGACTCTCGAGTTTCTGAGTGATTTCATGGGATGTTTGTTGGGAACTCCTAATGTCATTTATTTTTAGGTCACTTTTCAAGGCAAAGAGCTTTTTGATCTCTCCTCTGCAAGGTTAGAATCTTTGTCCTAAGGGGTATTTGGGGGAAGAACATTGTCAGTCACTATATTCACAATTCGGTACATGTTGGAGTCATTTCATCCTCGTCTGTGGGTCTGGGATTTCTGTTCTCACAGGACCTGATATCTTGCAATTTAGAGATTATCATATCCCCTCAGACTATACATCCCTAAATTTTTGCTAACCGAGGTAATAGAAAAAGGTTTGTTTTGCAAACAGCTTTTACTCAATTTTTTGATTCCCCCCCATTTAATTCTAGTTCTGGTAGTACCTAATACTTGCTAACCCAATGCCTTTTGTGAATTTTGTGGTGCAAATTAGAGTTTGGGTTTTGGCTTTTCCTGTTCTGCTAGATAAACCTGGTTTTCAGCTCCTGAAATGTTATTGTCTTATTTCTTGTTGCCATAACCACGTTTAGGTGTTTCTTTTTTAAGAAATAATTTGTTGTTTTGTGTTTTGGATGGACACAAAATTAGATGCAGTTCTCCATGTCTATATAGAAGTTTCTAACTAAAAAGAGTGGTATTTCTCCAGGTGTAGTAGTGGCTTCAACCTGTAATCCCAGCTACTTGGGAAGTGGAGATCCGAGGTTTTTGGTTTGAGACTAGCTTAAGCAGAAAGAGGTTTGGGAGACTCCATCTCACCCAGTGACTGAGCACCATTGTCAGATGCCTGTTATTCCAGCTGTAGGGAAAGCACAGTAGCTGAGCATAATGGCACCTGCCTATAATTCCCACTGACATGGAAGAATCATAAGTAGGAAGTCTGCAACCCAGGCTGTCCTAATAATAAAGTGAGAGTCTGCCTTGAAAGTAACTAATATAAAAAAGGGCTGGAGGCATGTTTCTAGAGGTAGAGTGTTTGCCTTGCAAGCCTAGCAAGCCAAGTTCAATCTGGAGTACTGTTAGAAAAAAAAGAAAAGCCAGGCACTGGTGGCTCCTGCCTGTAATCCTAGCTACTCAGGAGGCTGAGATCTGAGGATTGTGGTTCAAAGTCAGCCCAGACAGGAAAGTCTGTGAGACTCTTGTCTACAATTAGCCACCAGAAAACCAGAAGTGGCGCTGAGGCTTAAGTGGTAGAGCGCTTGCCTTGAGCTGAAGTGCTGAGGGACCATGCCCAGGTGAAGAGTTCAAGCCCTGCGATCACTACCACCACTAACAACAAAAGAATACAATTTCAATTCTTAGGTGAATTAGTCAGTCTAATCAGGACACAGAAATGGATAGGTGGAAGTTACAAGCAATGAGGAAATGTAAAGAAAACTAAAAATACAGGAGGAGATCACTTAGTCTCTAAGAGGACTTCCTCACAGCTGACCTCAGCTGTGACTGGACTGTAGACTGGATCTAGGGTTAGGAATTTTTCAGTATCAAGTACTCAAACCCCCAAAGGCTGCTGTTCTCACCATGGAGATAACCCACTTTCAGTCTATTGAAAATGTATTTGTATTCGGTACTTCAGCTGTTTTTGTCTGGCCATCTCTAAGTCCATTTTATGTTTGTCATTGTCTTAAGTCATTCTTTCTGTAGTCACTTTGCAGTCACCTTGGGCTCTATGATCAATAACCTGTTCATGACAAAGGTCTAAAACTACCCTTAAAGAATAACAGAGCTGAGCTGAGCAGATCACTCTCAAATGAAGATAATTGCTTATAATGATCAGGCTGCACCCTCGAGCTGGAGAAATCATCGCAGGAATCTAGAAATGAGATAATGACCAGTCAGGCCACAACTCTAGCAGGGCACCTTTGCTCTGTGCCCTTCTTTTTTCTATTTAAAAATAACACTCATGTCTTTACGCTGAAGGTGAAATGTTGTCTTCTGGTGGCATCATGCCATGTATCCTCCTTTCTGTGCTATATTTCTTTCTTAATACTTTCCTATCACATTCACTACAGTCTTGTCTTTCTTAAATTCTTCTCTTTGTGGAGACAAGGATTGAGGGTGATGAGCTGCAGCTGACTTTCTGGTAACAAAAATCATGGTAATGCTTGTAATAAAAGTTTAAAGAATTGGGCAGGCTGGGTACTGGTGGCTCAGCCTATAATATTAGCTACTCAGGATGATGAGATCTGAGGAACCTGTGGTTTGTAACTAATCCCTCCAGAAAACTCTGAGAATCTTACCTCCAATTAGCCACCGAAAACCCAGAAGTGGAGCTGTGGCTCAAGTGGTAGAGTGCTAGCCTTGAGTAAAAGGACCAGACCTAGACCCTGAGTTCAAGTCTTAGTACACACACCGAATTGGGTGACTAAAATTGCTAGAACCACCGTTAGCAATAGAGATTTCAGGAAAAGCTACCATTCATCTTTGGAGGGACAAAGGAAGAAGTTAGAATTACTGAAACTTTCTTAGAAAGGGGATTGTTGAGGATGAAAAGAAATGGTATAGTGTGTAAGGGACTTGGATTTTAGCTAGCATGCAGGTCTTCAGTAGCACTAAGATGGTGAGAGGAGGAATGGTACTGGAGCTGGATGGAGATTACAGAATGGCTTCTGCAACCTTCATATATAGCATTGGATTTGAGTGGAAAGGATCACTTGAATCTTTGTTGTATAGCTTGACAACTTTAAGTTCTAGGAAGGGCAATGAGGTGTCAGAAAGCACCTGTCTGAGCCTAAGGATCTAAGTGTTTAGAGGACAACACTCATCATGGAGTAATATGGGGCTGGTCTGAGCTCTGCAGGACTGAGCCACTCCTGGACTTTGGGGATCAATGGCTGGATAATTGTGACTTAAAAAGAGATAAATCCTAGAACCAAAACAGGGACAGCTGGAATCAGGATGAGCTAGGGTATCACTTCAGACTTCAGAACTAGGCTTTATCACTGGAGCAGAACACAGTAATGCTAGTTAAATGGTTAAAACTGTTTTCTTTATATCAAGAAGGGAAATGAATCCATATGTTTCCTTTGTGAATTCTGAGCATCTTGGATAATCACAGGTAGGGAGGCCTCAAAAAGGAGAGACTGTGCTGGGTGCCAGTAGCTCATGCTTGTAATCCTAGTTATTCAGGAGGCTGAGATCTGAGGATTATGGCCCAGGTAGGAAAGTCTGTAAGACTCTTCTCCAATTAACTATCAAAAAGCCTTCAGTGGAATTGTAGCTCAAGTGGCAGAGTGCCACCTTGAGCAAAAAAGCTTTGGGACAGCACCCAGGCCTGAGTTCATATTCCAGGACCAGGAAAGGGGGGTGGGAGGGAGAGTGGGAGGGAGAGGAAGAGAAGGAGAGGAAAAGTAAGTGTGTGTGGGGGGGGGAGAGAGAAACAAAAAGGGACAGAGAGAGGGACAGAGAGGAGGAGAGAGAGAAATAGAGAAAGGGACAGAGAGGGACAGAAAGAGGGACAGAGACAGAGAGGAGAGAGGAGCTTCTTAAAAATAAGTCCCTTGGAGTTTTGATGATTCATTGAAAAAAATAGATAAAAGGTCTCATAGTTTGTGAAACTGGTATCAAAGAGACTTGGGAGTTTTGGATGAAGGAGAAACTATAATGTTATGATTGCTTTTGTATTTTTCAATTATTATGCTATTAGTCTTTTTGTCTGATTTTGGCAAGCCAGACAATAATGAATGAAAGAATATTCATTATTAAATCCTAGCACATGAAGGGTCCTCAAGATATTTTCAATAAGTGAATGCATATGTGTCAATGAAAACCAATGAAAAGCAGATTCTTAAAAACCTTATTGTTCTTCTAATTCATGGTATTTAAAAATAGGTGGTAGCAATGGTAGAGCACTTGCCTAGCATGCTCAAGGCTCTGCGTTCCATTCATACTACTAGTAAAAACATTAAGCAGATTATCCTCGAAAGGCAATAAAATCTTTTTTTTTTCCCTTTGTCTCCCCATTCACAATACAGACTAGGCACAGGCCTGGGCTGAGGTGTATATGGGGTAGGTTTACTCTGCCTCCTCTTTCTATACAGTCAGTGTAAGAACACAGCCTGTGGTAAGCACCCGGAGGCCAATAATATCTTTTATCAGTAAAAGTGAACCAGTGAATCAATTTTTCAGAGATGAGATAGAAATGACCACATATCCTTTGAGAGCAATGAAAACTCATACTCGAGCTCTATAATCAAAAGGTATCTATATATAAATTTAGGACAAGTATAAAAAATCCTCATGATCTCAGGGAAATCTTCAAGTGGTTATGTTTCAATGGCAGGTTTATTATTTAATAAATGCTAATGACAGAGTTTTCATAACACCAGTAAATGTTACAACATCGAATCTCCCTGACTGAATTAAAAAACGACAATCACAACAAGGTTGATGAATTTGGATTGTTTTTTTTTTTTTTTTCATGTTTTCTGAGGGTAAGACCAGAGTCCTCACTTGGTCTCCTCTCCGTTCTCCTGTTTATCTTTCATTTTCTTCATCTCTTCTCTGGCCATGTGTCCTCGGAAAACTGACTGGATTTTGACAGCAGCATTCTCTTCTTTTTCTTTTTCTTCTTCTTCTTCCTCAGGAGACGCCTTCATTAAAAGGAGAGAAAGAGACTTAACGGCTCATATTTTCTATGCCACAAAAATAAATGAATAAATTTAATCAGCTTAGGGATGTAACTGAGATCTGTTGCTTCCTGAATTTCACATATTTGTATATGTACCAAATAGCAACTGCCAAACAACAGAAATTTTGTCTTGTACTGTTTAATGTGTCTCTGCAATAAAAAAAACAGCTTCTTTTTTTTGTACAAAAAATTCCTATTTAACAGTTTTCTGAGCAATAATATTTTTGAGGAGGAAAACAAGACTTGAAGCACAGTAAGAAATGTTGAAAGATTAGTAAATGTGCTGTTCTGAAATAATCATGATTATATAAGATGGGTTAAAATGTTCCCTTATTGGTTTCTAAATGATTTCTAAAACCAGAATCATACACTGAAGGGTGGAGTGACAAAGAGTAATTAGTTTATCCCGGTAAGGTCAGATTTTAACATGGCTGACCTTGGCATATTTAACTGACTGTTGGCATATCTTTCTTCTTCCTCTATCTTATTCTTTTAAAAAGGTATAATTTACAGACAGCAAAACATAGGGATCCTGAGGTTAACACTGAAAACACACATACATACACACACACAACACTTAATATATCTTTTTATATTTTATAAAGATGATAAATATGCAACAAAAAGCAAATACAATTTGTGATGAAAAGTTGAAAGATTTTCTTCACCTTCCCAAATCCTGTTCCTAAGAGATAACCATTATCATGGGTTAAGTGTGTTTGATGCATCTATGTGTGCATGTGCATGTGCATATATATATATATATATATCCTTCCAAAATTTCTCTACATGCAAAATACATTCATAAAACAATATATATGCATTTTTATTTTAAAAATGAGTTCACATTCAGGATACATTATATATGTGTGTGTGTGTGTGTGAAAATGTCACATTTAAACCTCCCTTGTATAACTCATGTGTGCTAATAATGAGATCATACAATTATTTTTTTTGCAGTTAGCAATATATCTTGGTGGTCTTCTTCTTCTTCCTCTTCTTCTTTGGTTGGTCATGGGGCCTGAACTCTGGGCCTGGGCACTGTCCCTCAGCTCTTCAGCTCAAGGCTAGTGCTCTACCACTTGAGCCACTTCTGGCTTTTTCTGTTTATGTGGTGCTGAGGAATCAAACCCAGAGCTCATGCATGCAAGGCAAGCACTCTACCACTGAGCCACCTTCCCAGTGCTGTATCTTTGTTTTCTCTGTCTGTCTGTCTCTGTCTCTCTCCCCCTCTCTCCTCTCCTCTCTCTCTCTCTCTCACCTCTGTCTCTCTCTTGGTTGATTGTAGGGCTTGAAGTGGGGGCCTGGGCACTGTTTATGAATTGGTCTTTTGGTCAAAGCTAGTGCTCTACCACTTTGAATGCCACTTGCAGTTTTCTGGTGGTTCATTGGAGATAAGAGTTTCATAGATTTTCCCACCATGGCTGGCTTTGAACCACAGACCTCAAATCTCAGCCTCCTGAATAGTTAGGATTATAGGCATGAGCTACCAGTGCTGGGGTTTGATTTGCTTTTCTATGTTATTATTTTAATGTCTTATTATTTTAAAGACATCATCATATTGAGCAGCACTGATGTACTTTGATTTATTCACTTAGTTTCTTTATAATGGACCCAATGGATTGTTCAATTTCTCCCCCACACTCATTACAAATAATTAGGGGAAATTATGTTCTTGAATCTTTAAGTGTAAACAGTATGTTATAGAAGTGTGTTATAAAAAATGATGTATCAAATGGGCAAATAAGTTACTCTCAAGCTGGAAATCAATGAGACTGTAACCTCAACTCTCATAAAAACTTGTATAAGGGCACCTATGAAAGAGATAAGAAAATGGTACTTCCTTTCCTTATCCCTGACTTTTCATATATTATGTTAGTATCAGGCTTATTGGGTTGGATTGATAAAATTTTGGGATAACTTGCACATATTACAGGGAAAAATCTATGCTTTGATGGGTGTGAGGTAAGGTATTTCTCAAGGGACATGACGATCTTAGGTGTCAACTATTGGGTAATTAATTGGAATATTAGGATATGAAAAGGACTGAGAAACCTGGCCCTTTTTTTTTGGTTGTTGTTGTTGGTACAGGGCTTGAACTTTAGGCCTGGGCATTGTCCCTGAGCTCTTTAGCTCAAGGTGAGTGCTCTACCACTTGAGCCACAGCACTACTTCCTGTTTTCTGGTGGTTAATTGGAGAAAGTATCTCATGGACTTTCCTGCCAGGGCTGGCTTTGAATTGTGATACTCAGATCTCAGCCTCCTGAGTAGCTAGGATTACAGGTAAAACCTGGCTTTTGATACTTTCTCATCAGACCTGGTTCTGAGTCTGAACTATGAAAAACATTGGCAGTGGCATTGGTAAATATTTAACAACTGGTCCTCTAGAAAGAAACAGGTTCTGATGTGTAGTGTTCACATTGTTTTAATATTCCCACAATGGCTGACTTCAATCTATTAAAATAGTGCCTCAGCTACTTGGTAAATGGAGACTGAGAGGATAGAAATTTGAGGCAAAAATCTAAAAAAAAAAAAAATCCCCAGCCAAAAATCTAAGATTCAATCCATAAACTAAAGCAAAAAAAAAAAGAGGCCTGGGGGTATGAGTCAAATGGTTGAGTGCCTATCTAGCAAGCATGGGACCTGAGATCAAATCGCAGTGTCACAAAAAAATATATTATTATTACTGAATATGGAATTGGTAGAATGTGCACAGTTATCTCCTGAGTGCTGCTGTTTGCACACTACACTAAATTATAATGCCATTATAATACAGATAGGTAGCAATGTCGACTTCCCATATCTTGATGGCTAGGATGTAGATTAACAAGGGAGGAGGGTGTTTTTGTAGAGGGCCCACTTGTATAAGTAAACCACACTGTATGATGTCATTTTAGTTGGCTACTTATAATTCTTTTCAGCTTTTATTTTTCTTTTCTTTGAACCTTTCCATTGTGTAGTGTTGATGAGCAACCATTAGTGAAAAATTCCCAAAGTGGAAGGTGAATCTGAAATATAAGACTAAAAGTTGTTCTGTCTGCATTTCCTAGTGGGAAGATTTTCTGTCCATTGACAATCTTGAAAAATAAGATTTTATTTTTAATGGAAGAATGAATTTTTCTTTATAAGAGGTATGGTTGAAAGTGATCTATGTTTATCACTGATATTAACTATCAAGAAAGCAAAATTGCAACTTTAAAAATATGGGCTGAAGGTGGCTCAGTGGTAGAGTGCTTGCCTTGCATGCATGAGGCCCTGGGTTTGATTCCTCAGCACCACATAAGCAGAAAAAACCAGAAGTGGCGCTGTGGCTCAAGTGGTAGAGCGCTCGCCTTGAGCTGAAGAGCTGAGGGACAGTGCCCAGGCCCAGAGTTCAGGCCCCTTGATCGACCAAAAATAAATAAATAAATAAAAATATAGATAATAGGTTGATTCATATTTGGAGTACAATTTTAAACTGAGTAATGATATTCTTTGTAAGAATACAAAAAATACATAGAAAAAATTACATACTAAGGCGGTAGCCCTTTCATCTTCCTTTTTCTCGGATGTTGAGGACATTTCCTGGACAAGGTCACATTTCACAGGTTGTTCTTGGTCCTAGTAAAAGAAGACAGGCCAAACAGATAAATGTTTTTCAGTAGATAATGTTTTGTTCCAGATAAAACTTCTTTGGGTAAATGGAAAAATAACTGATGGAGAAGAAGGGGGAATTATATTAATTTTATTTAATTATATATACAATTCCCCTATATTAAATTAAATATATAAAATATATAAATTCTATTAAATTACTATATATTAAATTAAATATATGTCTTTGTTTTAACAAAGAAAATATGTTGGAACAAAAGGAAATAAATGGAGGAAACTCAAGGGACTCAAACTATATATAAACAAATATCGAAAGTCAACATTCTCTCTTCTGCTATTGCACTAAAAACAAACGACTACTATGAATTAGCAAGCCTAATGTGTCACAGTAAAAGTTGGTAAGATGAACTAATAAATTCTGCAAAGAGTATGAAAATGAGATGTCAATGGTTTTTAAAACAGGAATAAATGCCATTGTGTTTTGCAATATGAGGCCAATGAAATTTATGGATTAAATTTATGGATTAGAAACCAAGTCAATATTAGGGAAAAGGAAGGAGATTGGGGAAGGAGGTAAGAGAAGCAAATGGGGGTGGGGTGGGTGGATATGTTCAAAATACATTATATATTCATGTATGAAAATGTCACAATGAAATTCATTTTGTACAATTAGCATACATTAATTAAAGACTAAGTCAAGGAAGTCAGTTTTGCTGTAGGGAATGATTTAAGTATAAAGAGAGAAATAAACTGTCAATTTTGTGTGTGTGTGTGTGTGTGTGTGTGGCAGTACTGAGGTTTGAACTCTGGCTCAGACTTGTTAGGCAGGGGGCTCTACCATTGAGCCACACATCTAGTACCATGTTTTGCTAGTTATTTTAAAGGATCTTGCTTCTTGCCTGGGTATGCGTTTGGCCTGGGATTTGCTTATTTTTGGCTCCATATAGCTGCTGGGATAACAGGTGTGCACCACTGTGTCTAGCTATGGGTTGAGAAGGATCTTGTCAACTTTTTTCTGCCTTGGCTGGCCTCAGCTTGTGATTCTCTTCTTTATTATTATTTATGTGGACACCAGTCCTGCGGCTTGTACTCAGGGCCTGGGTGCTGGCCCTGAGATTCTTTTTTTCAAAGCTAGTGCTCTACCACATGAGCCCAGCTCTACTTCTGGCTTTTTCTGAGTTGTTAATTGGAGAGAAGCGTTTTACAGACTTTCCTGCCCTGGCTGGCTTTGAACAGCTATCATGCAGATCTTACTCTCCTGTGAAGCTAGAATTACAGGTGTGAGCCACCAGCACCTGGTGTGGTTTTCCTATTTTAAGCCTCCCAAGTAATGGATTAGGCATGAGACACTGGCACCTGGCAGCTTGGTCAATTTTGACATGGCTATTCAAATCTTCCTCTAAAATAGAGGCAATGCTAATTCACCATTTTTAGAAGAAGAGCTTCTAAAACTCACAGAGTGGAAATTTAAGGACATAAAAGTAAACTGAAAAAGATTTTAGAATTGAAAAGAAAAAGAGACTCTGAAATTGCTGTGTGACACAAGGACATAGAACTTTTCAACATTATCCTCTTGATTTCCATAAAACATGAATATATATAAAACATTAATACAGAAATTAGTTAAAATAGAAATAAAATATTTCCATATACACAGGCATAAATGGTTGTAACTTCACTTTTGAACTCATGAACTAAGTGCCAGCTACTTCTACAGGATATTCTCCAAATGTATGGGAGAACATCAAAACCTAAATTTTGAGTTCATTTCTCTTAATTCTACTATCTGTTGGTGTGTTATTAATAACAGAATTGTTTCAGTTGTCTAAAAATAAATAATTTAATACAACCAAAATGTCAATAGTGTTATACAATTATTACTATTGTTATTATTATTATTTTTAGATGGGTCTCACTATGTTGCTCTGGACCTCAATCTCTGAGCTTAACTCTCCTGCCTCAGCTTCTTGAGTAGTTGGGACTACAGAGGAACATCAACAAGCCTGGCTAATGATCTCACTTTTTCTTTTTTGTCAGTCATGGAGCCTGAACTCTGGGCCTGAGAGCTGTCCCTCAGTTCTTCAACTCAAGGCTAGAGCTCTACCACTTGAGCCACATCACCACTTCTAGCTTTTTCTGCTTATGTGGTGCTAAGGAATTGAACCCAGGGCCTCATGTATGCAAGGCAAGTGCTCTACCACTGAGCCACCTTCCCAGCCCATGAAATCAAATTTTAATATACCTATAAATTACTTTGTGGATCTGATCAAAACATAACTTCTAATTTGTAGACCTAGAGTGGAGTCTGAGACTTTAATTTCCATCAAGTTCCCAGTTGATACCAATGATGCCGGTCCTACATAACTGTTCTTAATCAGTCTTTCTCATCTGAACAACAGAACATAGAGAGAATGTCTTGAACTTTCTCAACTCTCCTAAGGTCTGTATGGCTACTAAGGAAAGACACTGACGTCTCACACATGTAATAACAGGTACCTTCAATTTAAGGTTTGAATTTTTTTGAGGAATCTTGCTTTCTTTGAGAATACTCCTAAATGAGAAAAATAACTTCTGTCTTTTCTGAACAGATTAGTTTTATAAAGAAGATTATATAAATCTTTCATTCTAATTTGTCTTTTGTAGCACATGATGAAATAATTGGACTGTTTGATGATATATCATTCATTAACTCAGAAATTGTTTAGAACTTGTTCTTGCTAAACATTGTGGTGCTAAAAATGTGAATAAAAGATGCAGTAATTGTTCTATAACTTTTAAGTATCTTGTTAATCAGTTAAATTTAAGCAAAATATCGATACTCAATGCAGATACTTGGGAAAGTAATTTCTCATTGGAAAAAGCACAATAAAAAAGTTTTAATAAGTTATTGTTAATGCCTCATGCATTCCTCACAATTCTAGACAGATCCTAGTAATCTCTGGTACACAGGAAAATAAAAAGCTAAATTCACTAGCTTCCAGGACTATACCTTGAATGCATGGTTGTTATAGAAGCGGTCGTCTAACTTAGCCCCCCATTCTGCTGGATCAAAGTTGGTTTCTAGATAATAAAATATAATAATTTCAGACTTAGAGTTCACTAAAATCAATCTATAAGAATAACACAAAAAAGTTCCTCTTTTCAAATCATGGGTTCTTAACTGACAGTTGAAAATCTGACTGTCAATTATACAGAGCAGACAAAAGCAGGGATCATTAGTGATATTATAAAAGCACTAGAAATGTATTTTGCCTTTATAAAATTCATAACAAAATGTGAGAAAGAACAAATGTCAATACTGAAAAATAAACATTGACACTTTCATACATATACTAGCAAACACAGGAAAGTGTATAAAGTCAATGTTAAATAGTCAGGAGTTTTGGGAAGGAGGCACATTAAATAGACAGTTGGCAGGAAGAAGTATTTACATTTAAGCAGAATTTTTCTGTAACTTTTCATTTATGACAAATTTCAAGCAAGAAATGCATGGAAATAGCATACTGAAATACCTTTGTATAACATATGCTAATAAAAAAGAAATTTCTAACCTAAAGTAGAAATAGTAAAATAAACTTATGCATATTACTTAGATTATATAATTAGCAACTCTTCAGATTACTTTCCCACCATTTCTGATTATTTTCAAGCTAGCCTTTCAGGAATCCTGTTATTTTATCTACAAATATATCTTTCAGTATGTACCTCTAAAATATGGACTCTTTAAATGTAAGCATGACACCATAATTATACCTAAAAATATAATTCCTTAATACTGTTCTGTCAACTCTCCAATTTCTTCCATTGTCTATTTCTTAGTCTTTTTTTTTTTTTTTGGTCATGGGGCCTGAAGTCTGGGCTTGGGTGCTGTCCTCAACTCTTCAGCTCAAGGCTAGCGCTCTACCACTTGAGCCTCAGCATCACTTCTGGCTTATTCTGCTTATGCTGAGGAATGGAACCCAGGGCCTCATACATGCAAAGCAAGCACTCTACCACTGAGCCACCTTCCCAGCCCCTATTTCTAAGTCTTTTTGTTGATTCAGATTAGACCCATGGTTCTGGGTATTCAGAGATGCCCAACAATATTGTGTTAGTTATAATTTTGAGGCTTTTGAAGGTATCTTTTTTTTTCCAGTTCTGGAGCGCAAACCCAAAGGGCCTTATATATGTTAGGCAAACAATCTACCACTGAGCTACATCCCCAGTCCTGAAATGTATTTTCTTTTAAGAGAAAACATATCAAGAGGTTGCACAGACATTTTTCAATTCCAATTTAGGCTTATAGGATTTTATTAACCTCTTCCATTTTTATAACTGTATGCTATTTTTCCTTAAACTAAAAATCTTATTCCTGCTAATACAGGTAGTTACTTGTTTTTGTCCATAATACATAAAAACAATTCTGGAATAAACCTCAGGTTAATCCACTATTACTAAACCATGTATTTGAGGAATCAAGTTAAAAAGAGAAAGCCTTATTTAGCTCATAGTTTTGGAGGTTTTAGTCCAAGACCAATTGGCCCTGGTTTTGGGGTCTGTAGTTTCAGAGAACAATATGGTAGGAGTGTATGTGGAGGGAGACATTTGCTTCATTTCCAAGTGTGAGAAAGGAAAAGGGAGAAGGAGAGGGAGAGAAAGGAGAGAAAGAAAGGGAGATGGAGAGGATGAAAGGGAGAGAGTGTGTAACATATAGAATTAATTCAGTTTTGTTTCCTCATCTTTATCTCAGTATTTTATATGAAATCCACTTTTCCCCTAGCACTTTGAGATACCATTTATATCTCCTGTCCCCAAAACTTAAGGCCAATAATAACTTACAGAATGGGCTCATAGGTGGAGCTACCACGTACAAGGTCCTGGTTTGATCTTTAGCACCATATAAAATAAAATTACTTATGAAGAATGATGGGAAGTGAGTTATTACATTGTGTGGGAGGCTAGGCTATTAGACTGTAATGATTGCTTTTGCCTTTTTGGAGAGACTAAAATTTGATGTTTCTATTAGTTTGATAATTCACCTTTGGTTGACATGAGAAGAAGTGGATGTGGTGTTTAAAACTGTTTCAGATGGTTTACCCATTTTTTTTTTATCAGTGAAGATTTAGTATCCTGAGACCATTAATCTGAATCATCAATTGCTTTTATTACTGTGATCCGGTAACAATGACTCAAATGTTTTTGTAATAGTATGTTCCTGAGTTCTAAAATTAAACAAATGACTAAAATTTTTTTACTGCATGAACTTGTAAAATTAATGTTATAATAACAAAATTAATGTTCATGGTAGTTCATCTCTTTTCCCAAAGGATTTCTCTTCCCTTAAATATAATTTACCAAATATTTTCAGTAGAAAAGCTTCAGATTGTGCATCTATATTCACCCTGACTGGATATGGAAAAGACCAGCGACAGGAAATGGGTAGGAACAGAGTTCTGTAGGGCAGAGCAAAGGCAATGGGTGGAGCAGTACCTGTGTGCTATGAGAGCTGTTTTTAAATTCAAGCCCTTTGCTAGATCTTCCCTCTGTAAAGTGATTTACAATGGAAAGTCTGTTTGCTTTTTGCTCTTCCTATTCACATTTACTCCTCTACTGACATTCTATAATCAATAATAATATTTTATACATAATGGTTGTTCTATTCAAGAGGAGGTTATTTATTTTGAGGCATTGGGGAATTGAACCTAGGGCCTTGCATATGCTTAATTTATGTTTTACCACTGAGCTATATCCCTAACCCAAGAGTAGGTTTTAATATAAATTTATAGCTCTAATAATCCATTTTTTTTTTTTTTTGGTCAGTCGTGGGGCTTGAACACTGGACCTAGATGCTGTTCCTTAGCTCTTCAGCTCTAGGCTCTACCACTTGAGGCACAGTGCCACTTCCGGTTTCTGGTGGTGTATTGGAAATAAAAGTCTTATGGACTTTCCTGCCAGGGCTGGCTTTGAATTGTGATCCTTAGGTCTCAGCCTCCTGAGTAGCTTGGATTACAGGCATGAGCCACGGGTGCCCAGTAATAATTTTCTTTTGACCACTTGAGGAGGTCTGATTTGATAGTGATTTTAAGGAAATAAAGGAACTTTAACTTTCAATCAGAGTTACTATTAGCATGTATTTTAAATTTTTGTAGAGGCTGGGATTTTTGAGAGTATAAAGAATACAAATTACCTCCTCCAAGTTTGGCAGTTCATTTTTCAAAGCAGTTTGTCTTTATTGAAGAACAAGTTTCATATACTCTAGTGAATTCTAATTTATTTAATCTAAGGAGTGAATTATTTTTATAACACTTATAATACTTTCAAATCAGAAGAATCAAAATTTATAGAAAGCTGAAAATTATCTTCTGAGGAAGAACAGACTATCAACTATTGGGCATGATTAGAACAAGCTGTTGGGAAGTGAAAGTTTATACTGTACCATCTTTGGAAGTTCCATTCTGTATCCATGAAGAAGTCTGAGGAATTAACTGGCAATCTCAAATAATGTAAAACTACTTGAAGGCATCCAAAAAGCACACATCATTTCACATAGCAAGCTACCTGCTTAATAAAGACTTTCTGTAGAATGAAGATGGTCGGTCAATTTTATTATCATAATCAAATACTCTTAGACAATGGCTATTTCTTTTTTTTTTTTAAAGCTTACTCTCTCTTTTCTCTAGAAGGTTCTCAAAATATGCTGCTGCAAAAGCTGGTATATTTTCAGGTTGCTCCCTCAGAATCTCTCGGGTCAGCCCTTCAAGAAGATTCCCAAATCCTTGTGGAATTCGGTAGTGGGTGTTGGAGAATGGAATCGACATCTCCTTAGGAAGAATTGCTTATGGTACCTAGAGTCATCAAAAAGTACTGCCTTTATGATTGATTTCAATATAATCACAATTATGTCAACAATTTATTTGGCATACCCCAACCTTCTGGGCTTCAACTCTTTTTTTTTTTTTCATTCACACCACCCCACTCATTTCTTCCAGTACAATTTGAATTATCCATCATGAATTAGATTACAAATTCGATTGGTCAAATCACTGAAAAAAAGTTCACAAACCAAGACTTTCCACTATCACCCTAAGTACTTTTTCTTTCTGTCCTTCTGTCTTACTTTTCTTAAAAGGTGAGGTAGTTTATCCCATGACGATTTAGACAGAACTTTTGAAAAGCTAGCTTAACTGAATTCATTGCCAATTGCGAAGGCTCGGTTTAAGGTCCAACGACAATGAAAAACGAGTCCTCAGTTCTAGAAATCAGTCTGACTCGTTGAAGTTTCACCCTGTCTTCAACTGCCACTTTGGAAACACGACCTGTAATGGCTCTGAAAGTACCTCTGAACTCTGGAAGGGGGTAGAGGAGGGGATGGGTGTGATGGTTTTAAAAAATCCTTAGAGGATTCTTAGTATTTTTCGGGTTTTTGCTTTGCCAGGCTTCCTCCTTCCACTGTGGAATACAAGCGGGCTGGGCTCCTGGATACAAAGCCTCTTCTGGGAGCGGCCTGTTTGTGAGCGCGTCAATGCGGGAATAAAGGAGGAGGCCGGGTGGGGGGTCTGGGCTGGAGGAGGGGGCTGTTTCCACGAGGCCTAATCTGTGTGGCGGGGCTGGTCCCCCCCCATCTTTTCTTTGAAGAGACAGGAGATGAGGCATTGACTCATTCCCGGGTTGTGAAAAGCACTGGGGAGACCCTGAACCGAGCTGGGGGGCGGGAGGCGGGGTGGGGGTGCGGAGATGAGTCAAACCGTGGGCCGGACATCCAGGGGGGCTCCAGCGGCCCGGGTTCAGGCTCCAGGCTGCCCGGGGCTGTCGGGGAGGCCGAGAGCAGGTGAAGGGGCCCAGAAAAGGCGAGGTTCGGCGGTGGGAGAGGAAGTATGGGGGTGGGGAAAAACCGCCTCACCTCGCCTTTCTCTCTGAGGTAGTGCCGATGGGATGGTTCCGCCTGTTTTTTCTCGTTGCTGGGTAACCGTTTTAAAAAAAAAACACAAACTACGGCGGCCGAGAAGGAGAGAGTCGCCGCCGGGCTTGGCGGCGGCGGCGGATGGTTTCGAGGACTGAAGGGCCTGGAGAGGGTGTGGCCTGTCTTGTGGGCCCCGCCCCGGCTCCGCCCTAGCCCCGCCCCGTCCCGCCCCCCACCGAGGTGCTCGCTGGAGGACAGCGGGGTGGGTGACGAAGTCTTCCGCCGGCATGTTGGCCCCGGGCTTTGCTTTGGGGCTGGTGCTGCCATTACTGCTGTGGGTCGGCATACATTCAGGTGAGCGGCCTGGCTCGGCCGGCCCCCGGCCCCTCACACGCGCCGCCGTTTCGGTGGAACCATGTCCTCTTTGCACCTCTGGTGACCCCACCCGGGGTCAGGAGCGGTCGCCTTTGACCCGGGCCTGTAGTGCAGGCGTTTGCTGGGCCCACCCCTCTTCCTGCACTCCTGCATCCCTGTCCCTCACTTGCAGCTTTGTGGGGATGTTGGGAGTCGGGGGTGGGAAGCTAAATGTGCCCAGACGGAGGCCTTCGGGGGTATGAAGCTGAAGCTCCCTGGGAAAGGGGGCGAAACTAGTTAGGTAATATTTGGAAACAGGTGACTGAGTCATCCCAAACATTTCAGCGTCTGCCCCCTCAGCGGTGCCCGTGCGCATCGGGATCCGTTCCTTGAGGGAATTAAGTTTTACTCGTCTAAGTGGTTATTAGGGCGAAGGAATACAGCCCCCTCATTAGCTCGGAATAAGTGGAGGCTCAGCTTTGATTGCTGCTGCAGCTGAACAGACATTGGTGGTGGGATAATGTTGCGTGGCCTTGGGGAGGGGGCCGCCTCAGAGTGGCCCCTGTGCCCGGTCAGAGCACACCATTTGAATGGCCTAGGCTACCTGCCCTAGGTCACAGCCTGGAGAAACCAGAAGACAGAATCTGTTCATGCTGAGTAATAATGTAAGACCTCCTCTTCCCCATTCTTCTTATTCAATATGCTGAAAGAGTTGACCCCACAAGATCCTTGTTAAGCAATGAAAGTTGGGTGAGCACTGGTGGCTCATGCCTGTAATCAGAAGGCTATTCAGAAGGCTCGGATCATCTGAGGGTCATGGTTCCTAAGGAGACTAGGCAGGAAAGTCCATGATGTGGAAGTGTGGCTCAAGTGTCAGAGCGCCATCCTAGAGTAGAAAAAGCTCAGGGACAAGGCCCAGGTCCTGAGCTCAAGATCCAGTACACATACACGCACGTGTGTGTGCGCACACACACACACTCACACCCCACAGGAATAGTCACTATTTTAGTAGTTTTTCTGGTAAAGGCCATTATCTTTAATATCAATATTTTATCACTACCTTCGTTAAACTTTTTCATTCACTCATTTTTTGCAGTAAATTTCTCTTCTTACTAGGTTACCTACTCTGTCTTTCCTTCAAATCACCCCCATGCTTGCTCATGTTTATCTTCTAATATTTCAGATGTACTGAATTACATGTAACAATAAAGTAATGAAATAACTCATAAGCTTAGCACTCAGACTGAGAACTAGAATCTTGAGTTTTATTGAGACTACCAACCTACTCCTACCTCAGTGCATCAGGCAGGTGCCTGCCACAGGGAAACACTGTCCTAAAATTTAGTTAGTCCCTAGTTACGAAGGTCTCTTCCATCACTCATTCTTGTTTTCTACTTTAGTTCCCAAATGAAGGTACAAATTAAAGATCTCAAAAAATTCAAAATGTTAAATTGACATGTTGAATTGAAGCCCCTTTGGGCAATTACTTACAGATAATATATTTTTTACACTAAGATGTTAAATGTGACTCGTGTGTGATACAGGCACTTACTTGTCTCACTGTCTTGTTCTCTTTTTTTTTTTTGTCCATTGCTTAATTCCTTAGTAATATTCCACTGTCTAATCTGCTTGAAATTTGAGCTTTATAAAGACAGGGCATTTTTTTTTTTTTTTGGTTTACCATCAGGACTGACCTGCTGTAAAGTCAAAAGTTACAAGAACTGTGGAATCAGATGACTTTATTTGTAATCCTCCCATAATCTACTTTGTGACTTGAAGCCCGTTGAAGAAGCCTAATGTCTGCAGTACTTTTTGCACTAGGACTATCATAGTAAGCTTCCTGCTAGCAAGGATTTCTTTTTTTGGGGGGTCCGGTCATGGGGCCTGAACTCTGGTCCTGGGCGCTGCCTCTCAGCTCTTCAGCTCAAGGCTAGCGCTCTACCACTTGAGCCACAGAGCCACTTCGAGCTTTTTCTGCTTATGTGGTGCTGAGGAATCGAACCCAGGGCCTCAGGCATGCAAGGCAAGCGCCCTACCACTGACCCACCTTTCCAGCCCAGCAAGGATTTTTTTTCCAGTCCTGGGCTTGAACTCAAGGCCTGGGCACTGTCCCTGAGCTTCTTTTGCTCAAGGCTAGCACTCTATCACTTGAGCCACAGTGCCACTTCCAGCTTTTTCTGTGTATGTGGTACTGACACGAATGGAACCCAGGGCTTCATGCATGCTAGGCAAGCACTCTACCACTAAGCCATACTTCCAGCCCCTAGCAAGGATTTTTATCTACAGTTATTTATTCTTGCTTCTTTTTTTCCTCACTGTTAATATCCTTGATATTTAAATAGTACTTGGCACTACATCAATAAAAGATTATTTCTTGAATCAATCAATGACTATGCAGTGTGTGTGTATATGTGTCTCTGTCTGTCTGTGTGTACGCGTGCGTGCGTGCATGGGCACAAGCTTACTGGGGCTTGAACTCAGTGCTGGCACTATGTGCTCAATCAGCCTTTTTGCTCACATTTTACTGTTTGAGCTATAGCTTCAGCCCTCCTGAATAGACAGGCTTACAGGCATGAGCCTTCAGCTCTTAGCTTTCTGCAATGTATTTTTTGAAAATGGCTTGCTCTACTTGGGTTTTAGTATCTTGATCAGTAATATGACTTTGCCATCATTATAAAGATTCTTTCCATCTCTAAAATTCTTTAGCCCAGAATTAAAGCTATGCATAAAATAGTCCAGAAAATGCATTTGATGAGTACAGACTGGCTTGAAAAGGCTTATTTTCCCAGCCTATGGGCTACTGGCTGCACACACAAATATGCAGGCAGCAGCTGTTTTCTTCACTCCATTCTTCCACTCCCACCCTCTCTCTACTTAGATCTTATTTATGCCTTTGATTTTCGGTTTTCGGCTTCCATATGAAGCCCCTTCCAAGACAGGGTCCTCCCACATACGTTGCCTCCTCCTTCTCCCAGCAGGCTGCCAACCTGCTTATGCAATTCTAGGGTGTTATGGTCTTAGTGAGTACTTTGCTCATGGTAGCTGTGCATCTCCAGCCTCGTAGGCCTTCTGGTGATCTTTGATTGTCATGTGGGTTGCATTACTGAAGTAGCTTCCCAGAGAGAGAAAGAAAGTGAAAGCTTTTTCAAGATCTGGCTGTTATTCAAAGAGTAGCATAAGTAGGCCACCAAGCTTGTGAGGAGACCCCGTTAGATATACTACCCTATTAAGTATAGCCTAAGGAACCCACCATCAACTCTATCATTCAGGGAGGGAAATGTCAACCTGGTTAGTTCCGAATCTCTTTCCTGCCAATAATTTTTCTTTAAAAATCTTTAAAAAAGAAACCCTTAATTTTATATTAAAACATTCTTATTTTTTTGGGGGGGATCTGTTCAAATAAATGGGAACATGTAATTTTTCTTGTTAAATTTTGATGAGCTCATTGAGGTCATGTAGATTGATGCTTGTTATTAAAAATACTTTGATATAGGCTGGAAGTTAAAAATAGGAATGATCTTGTTAAAGTAAGCTCTTATTCAGTCTTGTTAGTGAATCTCTAGGAGTTTCAAATGTGCTGCTGCTTTTCTTTTTGTATAATTGAGCTTGTGAAAGGGTAAAATTGTGACAGAAGATCCTTCCTCAGACATTTTGACCTTCTTTTTCTCACTGACCTTAGTTTTGTATTTTTATTTATCCCTACGTGCCTAAGAAGGAAGAATATATATTGTAGATATTCACAAATGTGGCATACTGGGTCATCCCCAAAAGGGGGGATTATTTAAAGGAAATTAACATGGATAGAATGGAAAGGGAGGATTGAGAGGAGAAAATATTAGATAAGCTGTGTTGGAGGGAGAGAGACATGCTTTTTTATTTCCTCCTAGCTAGTTGGAGTAGGCGTGGTAATTGAAAGTCAAGGAAGTAAGGGTTTATTTTTCTCATAAAAACCATCTGTGGGGTGCTGGGAAGGTGGTTCAGTGGTAGAGTGCTAGCCTTAAGCTGAAGAGCTAAGGGACCAGGCCCAGAGTTCAAGCCCCAGGACCAAAAAACAAAACAAAACAAAAACCATCTGTGGGGTGTGTAGAAGGTATATTTTCATTATTAGAAGGGAAAAAATGTTATGGATGAGAGCAAGGATCAAGAGCTCTGAGAAGGTGGGAAGGAGTCTGATTGCTCTGGGCTTTTGAGTTTTCCTTAATTGTCATCTTGTATTGTACTATGATGCTTGTTATTGGAAACTGTTTTGTTATGTTGCTTACTTAATTAGGAGGAGTAAGTTTTAGAAGATTAAAGGGGCTGAGTATACTCAATTAAAAAAAAATAGAAACTGTTTTCCTTGCTATTTTACCAGCTGCAGTTGGTGTTGAATCTCCCTAAAGATACTCCCCTATGTGTTTGCTAAATTTTTTAGGTGTTGGTTTTCACTTTGCTTCATACTTCGATAGTTACATGGTGCTGCAGAAAGAGCCTGCTGGGGCAGTGATATGGGGCTATGGAATACCTGGAGCCATGGTCACTGTGACCTTGTTCCATGATGAGAAAGCCATCATGACAAAAGTGACCAGTGTGAAAGGTAAGACAGTCCACCCCTATTTAGCTATTGTCTTCTTCTGCCATCTGCTGGTCTATCTGAAAATGAATGGTTATGCTCCATTCCAGTTTGGCCATGCATGCATGCATCTATCCATCTATAAAAGTTAATTGAGTAATTACTATGTGCTAGGTGGCAAGGATAGCATAAAGAATAATAAGGCTTAGTCAAAGTCTCTGTTGTCAAGGAGTTCATTGAACAATACAAATAGACATTAATGAGGACTGGGAGTTTAACACAAAGGGTAGAGTGCATATCTAGCAAGTAGATAGACTAAGTCAGATAGTCATGTGGATAAAAGTTATGGATGAAGGTGTCATAGGATGCAGAAAAGAAATATGTAATTCAAGTTGGGAAAATGAAAATTCGAGATGAAGCATATAAAATCAAGGAAGTGTAGAGGTATGGTTAAGAACCTTGGCTCTGGGTTCAGGTCCTGACTCTTTATCATTTAATGGCTGTATAATCTTGGGCATGTTATTAAACATTTCTGTGTCATAGTTTCTTCATATGTAAAATGGAGATGGTCCTAATACTAATAGGATTCTTCTTCTTCTTAAGTGAATTATTAAGTGACATATGTAAAGTACTTGGAACAATTCTGGCACACACTAAGTGCTGCGTGAGTTTTAGCACTAATGATTATTACTAATAGAATTATTGTACTCAGTTACTCAAATATTTATTGAGTGCCTACTACTGTGGCAGATTTGTGTTTAGGTATTGGTGGCATGGTGATGAACAAAAAAGATGTGGTCTCTCCCCTAATAACTCCTGCAGATTAAGGAAGGAGAGAGGAAAATAATACAATTAATGCAATTACAATTAAGTGTGATTACTGCCATCATGTTGAAAGACAGGGTATATGGTAGTCCTTATTAGGGTAGTAGGGATAATGAATTTAGTCTAAGACTGGTTTTGAAAGATGAGTAGGGGCAACAGGTAGAGGAAACAGCGAAAGGCATGGAGGCAGGAGAAATGTCAGCCAAGGGCTGGGAAGGTGGCTCAGTGGTAGAGTGCTTGCCTTGCATGCCTGAGGCCCTGGGTTTGATTCCTCAGTACCACATAAGCAGAAAAAGCTCGAAGTGGCGCTGTGGCTCAAGTGGTAGAGCGCTAGTCTTGAGCTGAAGAGCTGAGGGACAGCGCCCAGGCCCAGAGTTCAGGCCCACGACTGGACCCCCCCCCCCAAAAAAAAAGAAATGCCAGCCAAGTGGGTTGATCCTGGAACATTGAATAAGCAACTGTGGTGGATGACAGGAGATAAAGTCATCTCCTGGCAAGGTAGGGAGGCCTTTTTACCCCTTGGCTAGTAAGAGTATATCTTGAATTGATAGATTTTCAGCAGCCAAATCATATGATCAGATTGATGCTTTAGAATGGTCACTTTGATAGCATAGTAAAAGATAGATTGTAAGTCATAAGATAGGGATGGGGTAATGCAGTTTGTTAGCAGGATTTTATGATATCCAGACAAGACATGATGAAGCCTTGATGGAAGAGAATGGCTGAAGATGGATAGAAGGAGAGCGTTCTAGAGTTATCTGTATCTAGAAGAGATAAAGATGCATTAAGCTATCTGTGAGAGGCAAAGTCACAGGATACAGAAAGGCATGCTCAGGGCCAAGTCTTAGTTAAGGTAGCTCTGGAGCTATGTAATGTTGAAGTGGGAATGAGACAGGTGAGGAAACTACTTGGGGGAGGGCAATTGAGTTAACATACAAGTTGGTGGTTTCACCAGTGACTAGAAAATACATATGACTGGCCTTTAAGACTTGTCTTGTTAGCCTTATCAGTATACAAAACTGATTCATTCTTGAGTCATCTATACCCTGGTGCTGTAAATTTCCATCCAGCAAGCATTTAAAAACACTATATGGTAGGCATAGATGCCAAGTCAGCACTCTTAGACCTTGAGATTTTAAGGTGTTTTGAAGGTAAGAATGTTTTTGGGTGAAACTAACAGACCTGAAAGAGAAACTTCAGCTGATGGAGATATGGTTCCCTGTTGACCTACATGCCATTGGTGACATGCAGGGTATACTGAAAGTGAATTCTAGAACCAGGAGTGCTGTGTCCCTCTTAGAAAATGACAGTGTCACATACAAATAGTGACTTTCTTTGTAAATGATGTTAATTTAGAAATCCAAAAATCTGCTATGGTTTAAAAAAATAAGAGATGAAAATCCCTTGGTGCACAAATAATAATTACCAATAAATATTCAAGAAACAGAGATTACATAGTATTGGAGAAATAGATACAAAAATTTAAAGACTTGTTCTTATGTAGTATTTTTAGAGCTTTATTTAAAAAATTGTTCATATGTATTATTTTTAGAGCTTTATTTTCCCCCCTTTATGCCTGTTTCAGGACGAATACCTCAAGTAGGCAGAGACAAGGAGGGTAGGTGGTGATGGGAAGGAATAAAAGGTAATCAATCACTAAGAGATGAGCTTTCTTTTTCCTTTATTGTGATTGTGAACCTGCTCATTTATCTTGAGTTTAATTTTATAAACATCTATCAAGAGCTTACTCTATATAAAATATTAAGATGGAAACCCTAGAAAAATAACAAAGAAGAATACAAACAGTTCCACCCTTGATTCTTTTAGTCTTTCCACATTGAGTGGTTTCGGATCAAGCAGTATTCCAGTGGTTTCACTTGGAAGTGATAAATGATATGTCATTTAGAGCTAAAATAGCCAGCAGAACTTAGGGAAACAAGTGTTGATGATAGTTTCACATTAGAAGGGGCTACTGTTATTGGTGATTACAGTAATAGATGTATTTAGCAGACTTTCCAAATGTACTTGGTAGAAAAGAAAGGCTGGGATGTACTTAGCAAGTACACAATTCTGAGTTTGATCTCCAGTACCAAAAAAAAAAAAGTTAAAAAAACTCCAAACAACAACAAACAAAAGCCCTTTAAACCAAGTGCTGATGGCTCATGCCTGCAATCCTAGTTCTGAAGGAGGCTGAGATCCGAGGATCAGTTTAAAACTAGCCTGGGCAGAAAAGTCGGTAAGATTGGAAGTGGCACTGTGGCTCAAAGTGGTAGAGCACTCGCCTTGAGCAGAAAAAGAGCTCAGGGACAGTGCCCAGGCCCAGAGTTCATGACTGACGGAAAAAAAAATTGTTTTAAAGAATGTCCACTCTCTCCACTTCTCTTCAATTTAGTATTAGAATGCCTAGCTAGAGCAATAAGACAAGATGCAAACATAAAAGGGATCCAAATAGGGAAAGATGAAGTGAAACTCTCCCTCTTTGCAGATGACATGACCTTGTATTTAAAGAATCCCATGGAACCACTCCCAAATTACTCAAGCTGATTCAAAACTTTGGCAAAAATAAAAAATCAATGGCTTTTCTGTATGCCAGCAATGAGAAAAGCGTGGCTGAAATCAGGAAAGCAACTCCATTTGTAATAGCCCCACAAAAAATAAAGTACCTAGGAATTAACCAAAGAAGTGCAGGATCTCTATGAAAACTTTAAAAACCTGAAAAAGGAAATCAAAAGAGAACTTAGAAAGTAGAAAAACCTCCCATGCTCCTGGATTAGAAGGATTAACATCGTGAAAATGGCAATACTTCCCAAGGCTATCTACAATATTCAGTGTGATACCTATCAATATGCTAAGCTCATTCGTCAAGGAAATAGAAGAGGCAATCCAAAAATTCATATGGAACAATAAAAGATCCCAAATAGCAAAAGCAATCCTTAACAGAAAGAACAGTGCTGGAGGAATATCAATACCAAATTTCAAACTCTACTACAAAGCCATAGTAATCAAAACAGCTTGGTACTGGCACAAGAACAGACCTCAGGACCAATGGAATAGAACTGAAAACCCAGAAATGAACCCACAGACCTATAGCCATCTAATCTTCGATAAGGGAGCTAAAAAAATAGAATGGAAGAAAGACAGCCTCTTCAGTAAACGGTGCTGGCAAAATTGGTTAATCACTTGTAGAAAACTAAAGCTAGATCCTTACATATCACCCTGCACCAGAATCAACTCCAAATGGATCAAAGACCTCAGAGTCAAAGCAGACACTCTGAAAACATTACAGGATGGAATAGGAGAAACCCTAGGTCTCCTTGGCACAGGCCGAAATTTTCTTAAAAGAGACCCAGAAACACAACAAATCAAAGAAAGGTTGAATGAATGGGATTGCATGAAGCTGAAGAGCTTCTGCATGCCAAAGAACATAGCTAGCAAGATCAATAGAAAGCCCAGGGATTGGGAGAAGATCTTCACTAGCCATACAACAGACAAGGGTCTCATATCTAAAATATACCTGGAACTTAAAAAATTAAATCCCCCAACAGCAAATCCTCAAAGAAACAACTGCCCAATAAATAAGTGGGCTAAAGACTTAAAGAGAAACTTCTCTGAAGAGGAAAGAATGATGGTCAATAGACACATGAAGAAATGCTCATAAAAGAAATGCAAATCAAAACAACATTGAGATACCACCTCACCCCAGTTAGAATGGCTATAATCATGAACTCTAATAACAACAGATGCTGGAGGGGATGTGGACAGAAGGGAACCTTACTGCATTGTTGGTGGGAGTGTAAACTTGTTCAACCACTTTGGAAAGTAGTATGGAGGTTCCTCAAAAGACTCCACATAGAGCTCCCCTATGACCCAGCAATCCCACTTTTGTGCATTTACCCAAATGTTCACAAACAAGACCATACTAAAGCTACCAGCAGGACTATGTTTATTGCAGCATTATTTACCATAGCTAAGATATGGAACCAACCCAGATGCCCCTCAGTAGATGAATGGATCAAGAAAATGTGGTATATATACACAATGGAACTCTGTGCCTCCATCAGAAAGAATGACATTGCTCCACTTGTTAGGAAATGGAAAGACTTGGAAAAAATTATATTGAGTGAAATAAGCCAGGCCCAAAGAAACGTAAGTCCCATGGTTTCCCTTATTTGCAATAACTAGTATATGTCTGAGACAAG